GGATATATTAAAATGTTGTATTAATAATTCAATAAAGGGTGAAATTGGAACCGAGTCTGTGTGGGTAGAAATTGTGGAAGGAAGAGAAAAACTAATTATGGGAGTGATTTACAAGCCCCCAAGTCTTGGGAAAGAAGCAGCTAAGCCAATATGGCAGGAAATGAGTAGGGCAGCAAAATACAACAACCTGTGCGTTATGTGGGATTTCAACTTCAGACATATTGACTGGGACAACATTGTAGGCAGTGTAGGTGACTATGAATCTGAAGACTTCTGTATTCGCTCATAGGAGCGATTTTGGTTTGTGCAGGACAATAAGACCCTTGTCGTTGACGCGATGAGTATAATTTGGTCAAAACACTGTTTGAATAATAAGGTCAATATACAGAACATAATTACACTTATTAAAATTATTTAGTGTTTTCATAGGATTCAACAGTTCACAATCACACTCACGTTTTGGGGTCTTGGGTTAGACCAGCGAGAACAAATATAATGTGCTGTGGGAAACTGTTGTGGACAAGAATCAAGATGTTGCCTTTACAGTAGACGGCGATAGACTATACCTCAGGCAGTCAAACAGCTGCTACCAGCTCCATCTCGCTTAGTAAGCTATTCTGAGTTGTAAACAGTTTCTTCACTTAACATGTGGCCGGCGCGCACAATTTGTGCGTGGCGATAACAACTTCCGAGACGCAGTACAGGACAATTTTTTTCAAACAACTAATTACAGAACCTACTAGAGGTGACAATATATTAGACCTAGTATTAACAAATAAAGAAAATATTATCAGAGATATCACAGCAGGGGAAGAACTAGGGAACAGTGATCACAGAGAAATCAGGTTCACCCTAAATTGGGACACGAAAAACAATGACAATATGGTCAGAGTCCCAAACTTTCGATTGGCGGATTATCAGGGGTTAAGAAGGTACCTAGGTGAGGTCGCCTCGGAACAGTTAGGTCAGTTCCCAGTAGGAACGGGTGTGGTCAAATGTGACACAACAATTGATCATGACTTGTGAAAGAGACCTAGGGGTACTTGTAAGCCTGGACCTACGGCCTAGAAAACAGTGCGTTAATGTTCGAAATAAGGCAAACAGAGTATTGGGTTATATATCTAGAAGTGTAAGTAACAAGAGTGCAGAGGTCTTATTGCAGCTATATCTTGCGCTAGTCAGGCCGCACCTCGATTATGAGGTTCAGTTCTGGTGCCCCTATTATAGAATGGATATAAATTCACTATAGACGGTGCAGCGAAGAATGACAAAAATAATTCCGGGACTTAAAAACCTTCCATATCAGGATAGGTTAAAGAAACTTAACTTGCATTCCCTAGAAAGACGAAGAGTGCGGAGAGATATGATAGAAGTATTTAAGTGGGTGAAAGGAATCAATAAAGTTCTTATAATATCCGTGCAGGATAGGACTCGGAGCAAAGGATTCAAGTTGGATAAGTTTAGGTTTAGGAGGGAGATAGGAAGAAACTGGTTCTCAAATAGGGTGGTGGACGAGTGGAACAAGCTTAGCAACTTTGTAGTAAGTGCGGGATCTCTGGAAAGTTTCAAAAGGAGGCTAGATAGATTCATGGATGATAGAGTGGTAGTAACTCTCGACAGGAGCTGCCATGCGCAGGCCAACCGGCCTATTGCAGACTCCCTATTTTCTTATGTTCTTATGATCTTAGGTTTAATATATTCACTCATATACTACGTAAAGCACATGAACAAAATATACCATACAGAAAAATTAGGTCAAATAAGAATGAGCCAAGGTGGATGACCAGAAAACTTAAACATGACATAGGAATAAAAAAAGGAATTTATAAGAAATTAAAGGGAGGGGAGGAGCAGCTCAGAAATAGGTATAATGAACTATCTAGGAATGTTAAGAAAAATGTAAGGAAGGCAAAGGGGGACTATGAAATCAGGACAGCAAGAGAATCCAAGGTGAATCCCAAGGGATTTTTCAAGGTATATAGGACAAAGGTCAAGGACAAAGTGGGGCCTTTAAAGTCAGAGAGAAAATAAGCAAAGCATTGAACAGCTACTTCTTATCAATTTTCATAGAAGAAATTCACGAGGAAATTCAAGAGGTGAAACTGATATTTCGGGGAAATGAAGAAGAGAAATTAAAGCATATCACTATCAGAAAAGAGGACGTTCTTAAAGAAGACAAAATCCCCAGGGCCGGATGAAATTTTCCCTCGAGTTTTGAATGAGTGTAAAGAATAGATTAGCGGACCCCTCGTAAATTTATTTACAAAATCAGTAGACACAGGAGTTGTGCCAGACTTGTGGAAACAGGCAAATGTAGTACCCATATTCAAAAAGGGAGACAGAGCACGAGCGTCAAATTACAGGCCGATTAGTTTGACGTCAGTAGTGGGGAAATTTCTTAAATTAATTATAGCAAATAGCATCCGATCGCATTTAGAGAAAAGCAAATTAATCTACGACTCTCAACATGGGTTTACAAAGGAAAAATCTTGTCTTACAAATCTGCTGACGTTTCTAAGGAAAGTCTTCGAGGTAGTTGATAATGACGAAAATTACGATGTTATTTACTAAGACTTTAACAAAGCGTTTGACAGAGTACCGCATCGGAGGCTTCTGAGAAAAGTTAAGGCTCATGGTATCGAGGAGAAAGTTTTAAATTGCATAAAATCATGGCTCACCGATAGAACACAGAGGGTCAGCGTAGAAATCTGAGCGGGGCTGTGTAACCAGTGGGGTTCCCCAGGGGTCAGTACTGGGCCCACTCGTGTTCATAATCTACATAAACGATCTAGATACTGGGATCAGCAGTGACATAAGCAAGTTTGAGGATGACACCAAAATAGGGCGGCAGATTAATTCAGGGCAGGATGCAAATGCAATACAGGAAGATTTAAATAAACTGCAGGAGTGGTCAGAAAAATGGCAAATGAAATTCAACACCAGCAAGTGCAGCGTACTTATTATTGGAAGAACAAATACTGTCAATGTATACAGCCTTAACAACATCAACCTAGAGAAGTCGACTTGTGAAAGAGACTTAGGGGTACTTGTAAGCCCGGACCTACGGTGAGAAAACAGTGCGTTAATGTTCGAAATAAGGCAAACAGAGTATTAGGTTTTATATCTAGAAGTGTAAGTAATAAGAGTGCAGAGGCCTTATTGCAACTATATATTGCGCTAGTCAGGCCGCACCTCGATTATGCGGTTCAGTTCTGGTGCCCTTATTATAGAATGGATATCAATTCACTGGAGTCGGTGCAGCGAAGAATGACGAAAATGATTACGGGACTTAGAAAACTTCCATATCAAGATAGGTTAACGAAACTAAACTTGCATTCCCTAGAAAGACGAAGAGTGCGGGGAGATATGATAGAAGTATTTAAGTGGGTGAAAGTAATCAATAAAGGAGATATAGATAAAGTTCTTATAATATCAGAGCAGGATAGGACTCGGAGCACCGGATTTAAGTTGGATAAGTTTAGATTTAGGAGGGAGATAGGAAGGAACTGTTCACAAATAGGGTGGTGGACGAGTGGAACAAGCTTAGCAACATTGTAGTAAGTGCTGGAAAGCTGGAAAGTTTTAAAAGGAGGCTATATAGATTCATGGATAATAGAAAGTGGTAGTAACTCTCGACAGGAGCTGCCGTGCACAGGCCAACCGGCGTATTGCAGACTCCTTATTTTTTAATGTTCTTATGTAGTCGGTGTCGTGGGTGTTGTGGTTATCGTAAATTGTCGTAGCTGTTGTGCTTATTGTGGTTGGCGTAGCTACCTTGGGTATCGTGGTTGTTTTGGTTGTCGTGGCTGTTGTGGTTGTCATAGGTGTCGTGACTCTCAGGGGTGTCGACACTGATGTGGCTGTTGTGGTTGTTGTGGTTGTCGTGGCTATCGTGGTGTCGTTGTTGTTTACATTGTCCTGGGTTTCGCGGTTCTTGTGGTTGTCGTGGGTGTCGTTGGTGTTGTGGCTGTTGTGATTGTTATGGATGTCGTGGCCGTTGTGGTTGTAGTGGGTATCGTGGTTTTTATGTATTTTTTGTCTGTCGTGAATGTAGTGGGTGTCGTAGTTGTTGTGGTTGACTTGGCCGTCGTGAGTGTGGTAATCGTTGCGGTTATCGTTAGTGTCGTGGTTAAGAACATAAGAATGGAGGAACCTGCAGCGGGCCTATTGGCCCATACTGGGCAGTCCCGTTTACACCCAACCCCTATTGCTCGTATATCTATCCAACCTATGTTTGATGCTATCCAGCCTATTCGGGTTAATGGTGATGTTTGGTAACTTGTTCCACTCATCCACCACTCTATTTCCGAACCAGCTTTTACCTATTTCGCGCCTAAATCTGTCGTGGCTGTCGTGGGTGTCGTAGTTAGTGCGGTTATAGGGGTTATTGTAGGTGTTGTGGTTTTTGTGGCTGTCGTGGCTGTTGTGGTTGTTGTGGATGTCGTGGCTGTCGTGGGTATCGTGGTTGATGTGGTTGTTGTGGCGGTCGTGGCTGTCGTGGTTATTATGGGTGACGTGGGTGTCGTGGTTGCTGTTGTTGTCCTAGGTGTCGTAGTTTCGAAGGTGCTGTGATTGACGTGGGTGTTGTGGGTATCGTGCTTGGTGGTGTTGTCGTGGCTGTCGTGGGTGTCGTGGTTGTTGTGGATGTCGTAGTTGTCGTGGGTGTCGTGGTTGATATGGCATTCGTGGGAGTCGTAGTTGTCGTGGCTGTTGTAGTAGTCATAGTTGTAGTGTGTCTTTCGTTTTTTTTGTGGTTGTTGTGGCTGTCGTGGGTGTCGTGGTTATTTTCGTTGTCATGGGTAACGTGGTTTTTGTGGTTGTCGTGACCATCGTGAGTGTCGTGGTCGTTGTGGTAATCGTGGGTGTCATGGTTGCTGTGGTTATCGTAGTTATTTTGGGTGTCGTGGTTGTCGTTGGTGTTGTAGTTGTTGTGGTTATTATGGATGTCGTGGGTGTCGTGGTTGTTGTGGTTGTCGTAGGAGTTATGCTGTCGTGGTTGCCGTGGTTGTAGTCGGTGTCGTGGGTGTCGTGATTGTGGTTATTATCGTTGCTGTCATAGATGTCTTCGGTGTCGTGGTTTTTGTAGTCGTTGTTATTAATTGTGGCATTTATGGGCGTCGTAGTTGTCGTGGCAGTCGTGGATGTCATGGTTGTAGTGGGTGTCGTGGTTGTGCTGGTAATCATGTCTGTAGTGTGTTTTTCGTGTTTTTGTGGTTATTGTGGCTGTTGTGGTTGTCGTGGGTGTTGTGGTTATTGTGGTTGTATTGGCAATCGTTGGTGTCGTGGTTATTGTTGTTGTCGTGGATGTCGTGGTTGAAGTGTATGTCGTGGTTGTTGTGATTATATTGTCTGTGGTGGCTGTCGTAGTTGTTGTGGTTGTTGTCGTGTTTGCCATGTTCATTATGATTGTCGTGAATGTCGTGGTTGTCGTGGGTGTCGTGGTTGTTGTGGTTGTCATGGTTGTTGTGGTTATCATGATTGTAGTGGTTTTTGTGGTTGTCGCGGGTGTCGTGGTTGTTGTGGTTGTCATGGCTGTTGTGAATGTTGTGGTTCTAGTGACTGTCGTAGTTGACGTGGATGTCATGGTTGTCGTGATTGGCGTGGATGTTTTGGTTATTATGGTTGCATTGGCTTCCATGGGTGTCGTGGTCGTCGTAGATGTCGTGGTTGTAGTAAGTGTCGTGGTTGATTTTATTGTATTTGGCTGTGGTGTTCGCTGTGGTTGCTGTGGTTGTCTTGACTCTCGTCTATGTCATGGTCATTGTCATTGTCGTGGGTGTCGTGGTTGTTGTGGTTGTCGTGGGTGTCGTGGCTGTTGTGGTTGTCGTGGGTGTCATGGTTCATGTGGTTGTCGTGGCTATCGTGGATATCGTGGGCATCGTTTTTGCTTTGGTTGTCGTGTTTGTCGTGGTTGTCATGAGTGTCGTGACTGTCGGGGATGTCGATACTGTCGTGGCTGTAGTGGTTGTTGTGGTTATCGTGGCTATCGTGGGTGTCGTAGTTGTTTTGATTATTTTTGGTGTCGCTGTTCTTGTGGTTGTCAAGAGTGTCGCGGCTGTCGTGGTTGTTATGGGTGTCGTAGGAGTTCTGGTGTCGTGATTGCCGTGGTTGTCGTGGTTGCCGTGGTTGTAGTCGGTGTCGTGGGTGTCGTGATTGTGGTTATTATCGTTGCTGTCATGGATGTCTTCGGTGTCGTGGTTTTTGTCGTGGTTGTTATGGTGTCGTGGTTGTTATGGTTGTCGTGCCTGTCGTGGCTGTCGTGAAGTTGTCGTGGTTGATGCGACTATTGTTAGTGTCGTGGTCGTTGTGATTATCGTGGCTTTCATGGTTGTTGTAGCTGCCGTGGCTGTCGTGGTTGTCGTGGTTGTCGTGGTTGTTTTGGATGTCATTGCTATTGTGGTTGTTGTCGCTGTCGTGGCTTTCGTGGCTGTCGTAATTGGTGTTGCTGTGGTGGGTGTCGTGATTGCTTTGGTTGTTGTGGTTGTCATGGTTGTTGTGGTTGTCATGGTTCTTGTGGTTGTCGTGACTGTCGTGGCTGTTGTGGTTGCCGTGGGTGTCATTGTGTTGTCGTTGTAGTAGGTGTTTTGGATGTCCTGGTTGTAATGGGTTTGTGGTTGTTGGGTTGTCGTGGGTTGTCGTTGCTGTTGTGGTAGTTGTGGTTGTCGTAACTGTCGTGGGTATCGTGGTTATTGTGGCTGTTTTAGCCACAAAGACTGTAACCTGACACTTCTTTTACACATTAAGAATCTTCTGTAATCAAGGAACAGACCTACATTGATACTCTGAAGTCAATAGATTTAACGAAAACCCCATGACTTTTCAACCCAGTGATCTTGAACTTTTGCGGACCCTGCGCAGGTAAATGAGATATCAAGGGTTTGCAGGTAAAAACACTTCATCAATATTGGGTATATATGACCTTGACAGATCTAGATGGGTCATATACCTGTCTCGTGAAGATAGATGGAACTTTTAGAAAGATCAACAAAGGTGGTACATTTTGGAAAGGTAAGAGAGTCGACAGATCATTATACTCAGTGGAGTTTCGTTGATTACAGATGAGGTTGTGTCCGGGTGTCGGTACCTGTGTACGGCAGTTGTCATGAGGCTGGGGCGGGGCAGATCCTGGTGGCAAAAACTGGGCCAATATCTGCCTTTTACACTAACCTGTCCACACACACACACACACACACACACACACACACACACACACACACACACAAAACAGTCATACACGTACACAAACACACCAAAAACAAGTCTCAAACACACACACACACACACACACACACAGTAAGGACAACCTCTTGCCGTAACCAGTGCCTACCAGTCTTGTTCATTACAGGTAAGTTATCAACTCATACATCAAGAAGGTGCTCAAGTAGCTTCTGTGTGGCTCCTGCTTTTCCGAGATCAATTTGTATATAGTTCCTTCAGTTATTAGTAAGGTTCCCTTAAGATTATCTGGAGTTTTGTCCGTGGGCCATGGTGCGTGGTTCGTAGTCCGTAGTTCATTGTCCGTGGTTCATGATACGTGGTCCGTGGTTCGTGGTCCTTGGTACATGGTCAGTGGTTCGTGTGAACAAGGAACGGATGTTGTTGTTGACATTTTGGCAATGGCGTTGGTTCTTTTCCCTCCTCTCCCTTTTCACCCCCCTTCCCCCTTCTCTTCCCCCCTCTGTTCTCCTCCTTCTCCTCTCTATCCCTACTCCCCCCACCTCTTCGTTCCTTCCTTACCCTCCCAGGAGTTTAGACGGGATTGGTAATTAATTTGATCTCATTTGATGACTTCATGGGATAATCAGGGGTTCAGGGATCATATCAACGGTTCAGATGTTAAAGGGGTTAAAGGGTCATATATGGGGTTTAGGAGTTCATATAGGGGGTTCAGGGGGGCATGTCAAAGGGTTTTGGGTTTATATCAGAGGTTAATAGGTACATATCAGGGGTTCATATTTTCATATCAGCAGTCATATCAGAGGTTCGGGTGTTAATATTAAGAGTTAATGGGTGTAAAGGTTCATGTTAGGGGTTAATGGAGTCATGACAGGGGTTCATGGATTTGTGACAATGGTTAAGGGTTCATATTAGGGGTTCAGGGGTCATATCAGTAGTTCAGGGGTTTATATCAAGGGTTCAGGAGTTCACATCAGGGTTCAGGGGTTAATTTCAGAGGGTCAGGAGTTCATATCAAGAGATCAAGGGACATATTTCCCTTCTTCCATTTCCCTTTTCCTCTCTCTTTCTCTTTTTCAACAATAAATGAAAAATCCTGATCAACAGGTACAACATGCTGGCTAAAAGGAGCAACATACTGATCAACAGGTACGACATACTGATCAACAGGTACAACATGTTGATCAACAGATGTAACATGTTGATCAACAAGTGCAACATGTTAATTAACAAGTGCAACATGTTGATCAGCAGGTGTAACATGTTGATCAACAAGTACAACATGTTGATCAACAGGTGCAACATCTTGATCAACAGGTACAACATGTTGATCAACAGGTGCAACATGCTGATCGACATGTGTAACATGTTGATCAACAAGTGCAACATGTTGATCACAGAAGAGCAACATGAGAATCAACAAGTGCAACATGTTGATCAACAAGTACAACATGCTGATCAACAGGTGCAATATGCTGATCAAAGAGGTGCAATATGCTGATTAACAAGTGCAACATGTTGATCAATCAAGTGTAACATGCTGATCAACAGGTGAAACATGCTCCTAAAAGGGGTGCAATATGCTGATGAACAAGTGCAACATGTTGATCAACATGTTGCACCTGTTCATCAACATGTTGTACCTGTTGATCAAGATGTTACACCTGTTGATCAATATGTTGTACTTGTTGATCAAGATGTTACACCTGTTGCGCAAATAGGTGCAACATGCTGATCAACAGGCACAATATGTTGATCAAAAGGGTGCAATATGCTGATGAGAGGTGTAACATGCTGATCAACAGGCGCAATATGTTGATCAAAGAGGTGCAATATGCTAATCACAGGTGTATCATGCTGATCAACAGGTGCAACATGTTGATCAAGGAGGAGTAACATGCTGATCACATAGGAGCAACACACTGTTCAAAGAAGTGCAATATGCTGTTCAAACAGGTGCAACATGCTAATTAACAAGTGCAACAGGCGTAACATGCTGATCAACAGGTACAACATGCTGATCAACAGGTACAACATGCTGATCAAAAGGTGCAATATTCTTATCAGCAACAGATGCAACATACTGATCAACAGTTGCAACATCATAAGCAACAACAGATGCAACATACTGATCAACAGTGACAACATCATAAGTAACAACAGGTGCAACATACTGATCAACAGTTGCAACATCATAAGTAACAACAGATGCAACATACTGATCAACAGTGACAATATCATAAGTAACAACAGATGCAATATACTGATCAACAGTTGCAACATCATAAGTAACAACAGATGCAACATACTGATCAACAGGTGCATCAACATAAGTAACAACAGATGCAACATACTGATCAATAGTGACAACATCATAAGTAACAAAAGATGCAACATACTGATCAACAGTGACAATATCATAAGTAACAACAGATGCAACATACTGATCAACAGTTGCAACATCAAAAGTATCAACAGATGCAACATACTGATCAACAGTTGCAACATCATAAGTAACAACAGATGCAACATCTTGATTACAACAGATGCAACACCCTTACTTCTATCCTGATCAGCGCTCCAAGATGATCAATCGTAAAAAAACAAGTTGGCTTGTTTTGGCACGCCAGCCTCCGCCCACCGCTACCCTCCTCTTCTGCCAGTTTCCATGGTGACACTTGCCCAGTACCTCCACCACTGTGTACCAAGATGTAGCGATTCCGAAATGTGGGTATTTGTTTTTGTTACGGAGGTGGAGTGTGTGTGTGTTGATATGTGTTTCTTTGTCCATTTAACTATGTAATTATCAATTAACTTATATATCTGCTTATTTATTTATTATTTAAATATATATTTACTTATACAGTATATATGTTTACTTGTCTATGTACTGATTTTTCTATTTTCGTACCTATCTCTTTACTTATTTGCTCATTTATTTACAGTACTCACTTAATAATCCCAATAGATCA